TTATGATCCATAGATTTGGTCTTTTCATGGTGTCCCACATCTCTTGCATATTCTATTCCTGTTTGGTTTTTTTTTTTAATTTTCCATACTCTTTGCTTGAGTGGTCCAATTCTTCAACTTTATCCTCCACTGTTGATATTCTGTTTTCCATTTCATTCATTCTAGGGGTGAGACTTCTCCTGTTTTTACAAGTTGACTTATTGAGATTTACACTTCCTTCTTCATTTCTGCCTGAGTTTTCTTCAATGTTTCTCTTTTGTGTTTGTTTGTTTGTTTGTTTGTTTTGAGACAGACTCTCCCTGAAGCCCCAGCTGGCCTGGAATTCACTATGGAGACCAGGCTGGCCTCCAACTCACCTGCCTCTGCCTCCCAAGTGCTGGGATTAAAACCACCACACCAGGCTTTCTATCTCTTTTGTGAATTCATTCAGAAGTTTAGCTCTATCTTCTTTTAGCTCTTTGATTTGTTTGTGTGTTCTTTAAATTCTTTGAATTCCTTGATCATGTTTATGATTGTTCTTTTAAATTCAGTGTCCTGGGTTATCTCTAGGGGGTTCTCCTTGTAGAACTCTTCTACAGGATTGGTGGGCTTTGCTGGGGAAACAGTGTTTTGGCTTTCCATTTTATTATTCTTTCGTTATGGTTTTGGCATGTGAATTTCTTTTGTTGTTTGTGATTCTGATATGGGAATTAAGTTGAAGCATGCTTCTGTTTGTATTATCTGTGTGCCTAGATCCTTTCTTTATTGGTTATGTAAAGCTGGTTGGTACAGGGTTCAGGTTCTTTCAGGTTTATTTTGGAGGGAACTGATGGCTTCAGATCAGCCATTCAGGGGTACCCACAGAAGCCCAATTCAGGTTCCAGTCAGGTACACTCAGGCTTCCTTCACCACATGGAGGCAGGATCCAGGGTCTCTCAGGCAGCCCTGTGCATTATCAACCCTATGCCAGAGGGAGGCCAGAGGGTGGCACTCTCTGGCATTCTGCTGAGATCCCAGCCTTAGCCTACCAAAGCCAGATCTGCCCCGGGGCCTTGGGAGGGGTCTCACAAAATCCCAGGTAGGGGGATGATATGGCACAATTAGGGGAATCTCACCTCCAAGTGGAGGCAGGATCCTGGGGCTGTCAGGTTGTCCCCTGGGTTCTCAGGCCCTCTGGTAGTTGGAGGCCAGAGGGAGGCCAGAACCCGGCACTCTGGCGGTCTGCTGAGCTCTGAGCAGCTACCCCAATGGAGGTCAGAACCACCCTCTGTTTAGTTTTTTTTTGGTATTTTTGAGACTGGGTCTCCCTGTAGCCCCAGCTGTCCTGGAACTCACTATGTAGACCGGGCTGGCCTTGAACTCACAGAGATCTGCCTGCCTCTGCCTCCTGAGTGCTGGGATTAAAGGCATGCACCACCACGCCCAGCTTTGTTTAGTTTTTGTGTATTTTGTCTACATGTAAGTGCACCATGTATATGCAGTGCCCATGGAGGCCAGAAGAGGGCATTGGTTGCCCTGGAACTGGAGTTGCTGATGGTTGGTAGCCGCCCTCTGGGTGCTAAGAACTGAACCTGGGTCCTCTGCAAGAGTACCGAGAGCTCTCACACTGAGATCTCTCTAGCCCCTGGAACTATGTAGACCAGGCTGGCCTGAAACTCAGAGATCCTCCTGCCTCTGCCTCCTGAGTGCTAGGATTAAAGGGTTGTGCCAACACACCCAGCCTCTGTGTGTGTGTGTGTGTGTGTGTGTGTGTGTGTGTGTGTGTGAGCGCGCTCATCCATGGCATACATGTGGAGGTCAGAAGATAGTTTTCAGGGTCAGTTCTCTCTTTCCATCATGTGGGTTGAGAAGATGGAGCTCAGGTTGTCAGAGTTGGCAGCAAGCTCCTTTACTTGAGTCATCTCACTAGTGTCTCAAAAAGTGTGCATGTGCGTGTTTTTGTGTGTGTCACTGCATGTGTGGAGGTCAGAGGACAACTTGTAGGAGTTGTGGTAGCCCACGCCTTTGATCCAGTACTAGGAGGCAGAGGCAGGGGGATCTCTGTGAGTTCAAGGCGAGCCTGGTCTACATAGTAAGTTCCAGGCCAGCTGAGGCTACAGGGAGACCCTGTCTCAAAAAGACCAAAAAATAAAAGTAAAAAAGAGTACTGGAATTACAAACTAACACTTATGCATCCAGTGTTTTAACAAGTGTTCTGGGGATTTGAACTAAGAGACTCATGCTTATACAGCAAACCCTTTACTGACTGAGATACCTGCCCAGCCTCTGCTTCTATCTTGGTCTTCTCCCATCTGGACCCCCCTCTTCCTCTTTCCTCCACCCTCTTCCCTGTTGGTGCCAGCCCCTCAGTGTTGGCCATAGCCTCTCTCTCAGTTCTTTTCCTTGGCCTTAGGCCGTGTTCACAGACCTGGAGATTTTGGCTGCCCTCTTTGCTGCTGCCATCCATGATGTGGACCACCCTGGGGTCTCCAACCAGTTCCTCATCAACACCAGTGAGTGAAGGTTCTCAGGGAAGGGGGGACAAAGCTTGACTGAATGGAGGTGGGACTGAAGGTGGAGCCTGCCTTGGCTAGGTTGGTCAGGATGAAGGTGGAACCAATTGTGCTGTGGAAGAGGGGCCACCTGGGCTAGCAGAGGGGCTGGCAAGGTTGCTACTAGGGTGAACATACTGGGTGGAGCCAGCAGGCCAGAGGGTCAGTTTGTCAGGGCTGGAAGGAGCTGGGCAGGGGGCGGGGCTTAACAGGCTGGGTGGGGCCAGTGGATCAGGGCGGGATTTGTGGGGATAGAACTTGAGATGGGACTCAAGGGTTGGGGAACTGAACACGCTGGGACGGGACTCATGGGAAATGTGTCTTGGAGGTGGGACCTCCTGATCTGAAGATGAGCTACCTATCCTGGCTTGGGGCTAGGGCTGTTCAGGCAGGGGGTGTAACCACTTGGGCCATCCCATCCCTTAATGGGGGAGGGGCTGAGGAGCATTGGTAGGGCCAGCCAGCCTAAGGGCGGGGCCTTTGGCAATGGGATCCTGGACCAGTATAGAGGTGCTGGGGCTGGTGAGACTGAGGGTGGAACCAATTGGCCTATGGAGCTGGACCAGCCAGGCTGATGGTTGTAGTGATGGATAAGGCCAGCTGGGTTACTGAGATGGGGATGAACTTATTCATACTGCTCCCAGGGCCAGCTGGGATGGGGGTGAGGCTGAGCAGACTGAGCGGAGCCATCTGGACTGTGGGCTCTAAGGAAGGACGAGCTGGCTGGGGGTGGAGCGAACAGCCTGGGGTGGGGTCATCCAGGCCGAGGGCGGGGCTTGTGTAGATGGGTATGCCACTTAGGGCGAGGCAGAATAGCTTGAGTGGGGTCAGTCAGGCCGAGGGTGGGGCTAGTGCAGATGGGCAGGCCATTTAGGGGGAACATTTAGGCATACACAGGGTCACCTCCCCTGAACCACCGGGGCCCGGGCTGCAGATTCGGAGCTGGCACTGATGTACAACGACGAGTCGGTACTGGAGAATCACCACCTAGCCGTGGGCTTCAAGCTGCTTCAGGAAGAAAACTGTGACATCTTCCAGAACCTCAGCAAGCGCCAGAGGCAGAGCCTTCGCAAGATGGTCATCGACATGGTGGGCGGGGCCTGGGCGAGGCCAGAGCGGGAAAGGCGGGGCTTAGCGGCCTAGGGAGAGCGAGAGCAGGACCTTCCTATCCTGAGGGTTCCGCATAGGGAAAATCTGCAGGGGCCTGGGTAGGTGACAGGGGGTGGGAGAGTGACCCCAGGTGGGTAGGTGATAGCAGGTGGGTGAGTGACCCCAGGTGGGTGGGTGACCCCAGGTGGGTGGGCTTCAGCTTCCCCCCTTTAACGCTGCCTTGCCCACAGGTGCTGGCCACGGACATGTCCAAGCACATGACCCTTCTGGCTGACCTAAAGACCATGGTGGAGACTAAGAAAGTGACCAGCTCTGGAGTTCTCTTGCTGGACAACTATGCTGATCGCATCCAGGTGCCCCAGACCCCCAAGAGGAATGCCAGGCCCCTCCCCTCTGCTGCCCTAACTTCTATGGCCCCATCTTTGGGTCCCTTTTTGTTTGTCTGCCTCCTCCATTGTCTTTTTGCAGTCCATCTCTCTCCTCTCCCATTCCTCTTTGCCTCTCTCTCTCTCTCTCTCTCTCTCTCTCTCTCTCTCTCTATTTTTTTTTTTGTCTTTTTGAGACAGGGTCTCCCTGTAGCCCCAGCTGGCCTGAAACTCACTATGTAGACCAGGCTGGCCTTCAACTCACAGAGATCCGCCTGCCTCTGCCTCCCAAGTGCTGGGACTACAGGCGTGCACACCACACCTGGTGTCTCTTTGCCTCTTTATCAACCCCTCCCATCACTCTCCAACCTCTCCCACACTCACTCCATCCTTTGGCAACATTTTCCCTCAGCTAATCCATCTCTTGGCTCTTCCCTCAGCTACCCTTATCTCTCCCTAACCCCTTGCATATCTCCTCTCATTTATCTCACCTCTCTTCATCCCCACTCACCACCTCTGCTTCCTCCTGCACTTCAAGCCCCCAAGTGGGAGTTAATAGAGACTTAGCAGAGGGCATACCTGTCATCTCAGCACTACAGAAGCAGAGTCAAGATGGCCCCAAGTCCAAAACCAGCCTGGGTTCCATTTGAAGACCCTGTCTCCAAAAAACAGAACAAAATAAAATAAAGCAAAAGCATTAAAAATTAAAACTGAGTGTGAAGCCCCACTCCTTTCATCCCAGCACTTGTTCAAGGTCATCCTCAGCTACATAGGGGAGTTCAAGGTCAATCATGACTGCATGAAACCTTGTCTCAAAAAACAGAAAGAGGTGGCTGGAGAACAGCTAAGAGCACTGGCTGCTCTTGTAGAGGACCAGGATTCAGTTCCCAGGACCCACATGGCAGCTAGAAACTGTCTGTAACTCCAGTTCTGGGGAATCTCTTCTGGCCTCTGTGGGCATTGCACATATGGGTGCACTTACATACATGCAAGCAAATCACTCATACACATAACATATAAATAAATACATGAATAATTTTTAAAAATATTTAGGGGCTGAAGAACTGGCTCAGTGGTAAAGAGCACTGGCTGCTCTCACAGAGGACCCAGGGTTGAGTTCCCAGCCCCTGCATGATGGTTTATAACTATCTGTAATTCCAGTTCCAAGGGATCTGATGCCCTTTTCTGGACTCCGCAGGCATTGCATGCATGTGGTGCACTTATATGCATACATACAAAACATACACATAAATAAAAATTAGCCAGGCATGGTGGTACACGCCTTTAATCCCAGCACTTGGGAGGCAGAGGCAGGCGGATCTCTGTGAGTTCTAGGCCAGCCTGGTCTACACAGTGAGTTCCAGGCCAGCTGGGGCTACAGGGAGACCCTGTCTCAAAAAGACCAAAACAGAAAAAGGAAGAAAAGAAAATGGTAAGAAAGCCTGAGGCTCCAAAGCCTATGATGTGACCTGGCCTCTGAAGGTCCCCTCCCCATATCTCACACAGGTCCTCCGAAACATGGTACACTGCGCAGACCTCAGCAACCCCACTAAGCCACTGGAGCTGTACCGCCAGTGGACCGACCGCATTATGGCTGAATTCTTCCAACAAGGTGACCGGGAACGGGAGAGAGGCATGGAGATCAGCCCCATGTGTGACAAGCACACAGCCTCTGTGGAGAAGTCACAGGTACAGCTCAGGGTCTCAGGACAAAGGACAGAACCACCCTGCCCCACCATGGCTCTGCCTGGAGTTCCCTGGCCCACCCGGGCCTGCCTCTCTACCCTAGTCAAATTTCTGTTTGTATTCCTTTTTTATCTCCATGGGAAATAAACCATGTTTTCTCTTCAAAATAACTATCTAAAGGACTAAACTGATAACCTGTAGACTCATTTTCACATAGTTCTGACTCTTTTCAGCATCTACTTTAACATCGCCAATGCTGTTTAGCAGGGCATGGTAGGCCAAGTCTGTAATCCAGCCTTCTACAATTTAAGAGCGATACATTGTATGTTCTGTGGGGAGGGGAGAGAGGGGAATTGTTTTTGGTTTTGTTTTCTTGTTTTTGTTTTTTTCTGCTTTTGAGACAAGGTATCATCTATGGAACCCTAACTGGGCTAGAACATACTATATACTCCAGGCTGGCCTGAAATTCACAGGGATCTGCCTGCCTCTGCCTCCTGAGTGCTAAGATCAAAAACCTGTGTCACCATGCCAAGCTAATGGCTTGGTTTTTGTCTTTTGAGGGTTTTTCTTTTTCTTTTTTTTTTGTCTTTGTGACAGGGTCTCGTTGTAGCCCCAGGTGGCCTGGAACTCACAGAGCTCTGTCTGCCTTTACCTCCTGAGTGTTGGGACTAAAACTGTGTGCCACCGTGCCCTGCTATTAATTTATTATTTTTATTTTATGTATATGAATGTAGTGCCTGCATGAATGTAAGTGCACCTGTGTTGTGCAATGCCTAAGGAAGTCAGAAGAGAGCATCAGATTCTGCTGGAACTGGAGTTATGCATGGTGTTAGCACCATGTGGGTACTTGGACTTGAACCCCGGTTCTCTGCAAGAGCTGCCAGTGCTCTTAACTGCTGAACCATCTCTCCAGTACCCCCAAAGCCTGTTTTTATTTGATTAGATCCTGTCTCCCACATAGTGCTCTCCACCCCGCTGAGCCAGCCACCTATTTAGACCCCCTTTCCTCTTCCTTAGGTGGGTTTCATCGACTACATTGTCCACCCATTGTGGGAGACGTGGGCAGACCTCGTCCACCCAGATGCCCAGGACATCCTGGACACTTTAGAAGACAACAGAGACTGGTACTATAGTGCCATCCGCCAGAGCCCTTCACCACCCCTGGAGGAGGAGCCAAGGGGACTGGGCCACCCCACCCCATTGGATAAGTTCCAGTTTGAATTAACATTGGAGGAAGAGGAGGAGGATGAAGAAGAGGATGCACTGGATGTACCGAGGTTACCTATAACTGAGGAACCCTCTCTGGTTCCAGATGACATCATGGCCCAGGATAAAGAATCATGGAAGGTCCAGGTTCCAGTGTCAACAAAGCTGGAGGTAGAAGAGAGTTGGAGACAGGGGACAGACTCAGCCTGCAGTGTTCCTCAGGAGTCTGTGGGAGCTGTGGGCTGCTCCTCTGGTGTTGTTACCCCCATGCTGCCTGACTTGAGGACCCTGACCCCCTCAGAGGAGCTCCCGGGCCTCCTGGGCCTCCCCTCCATGGCAGCAGAGGTGGAGGCCCTAAGAGACAATGTGGCTGCCACAATGGTGTGTCACACCTGCTCAGCAACATCAGGGGATGATGCAGCCATTCTCCCAGCCCCTGACGGGTGGGGGTCAGAAGGAGACCTTACCTGACCCCTACTCCCCTCACCCTGGGGTCCTCCCTCCTCCCCACTCTTCCCACCCACCACCTCATCTGCCTCAGACTCCTGGTCCTCCTGAGAAAAAAGAAAACAGAAAAGTGGGTTTTTTTTTCTTTTTTTCCCCTTACCCCCCTCTTTCACTCATGGGGCCTTTTTGTGGAGGCAGGGGCTGGGGAGCCAGGGACTAAGTCCTAAAAAAGGGATTTTATTTTTTGAATTCTAATTGTAGGGGGTGTTTTGGGGGGGCGGGGGGGGGGGAGCCAGGGACGAAGTCCTAAAAAAGGGTTTTTATTTTTTTAATTCTAATTGTAATTTTTTTAAAAAAAAAAAAAAAAAAAAAAAAAAGAAACACAGCAACTGTAGATGCACCCACTTCCCATTCCGGGTTCTCCATCCCTCAACTTTTTCCACCTCACCCTACCATCCACGTCACCTGCAAGTCCAGGGCTCCCCCCTGCCCCTGTTCTTGAGACTGGCTTCTTGAGACTCTACTCTAGGCATGTTGCTTCTTTTTTGACTGTTCTGAGGTTCATAGGGTCTCTAAAACCCAGTTAGGAATAGCCATGGGGCAAGCCCACTGGGAGGGGGTCTGCCACAGCTAGGGGCTTCTCCCTGGGTGGATGTCCCCCTCCCACAAAATGTCTTCCACTTTTTTTTCCCAGAATCCTGGCTATAGGGATGAGGGAGTGTGCTCTGAAAAGCTACTTCTTGGTTTTACCCCTCCACCAGTCAGTCTTGATTACCTTCTCCAACTGCCATCCCCTTTCCTGTCCACTCTGGGTCACTTTTGAATAATCTCCATTGGAGGAAGGTGACTCTGTTCCACATGCACATACACATGCTCCTTTTAGCTGCTTCTCCCTCTTGTTTCTGCCTTAAAAATTCCTATGGCCATAGATGAGGGTTCAGTGGCTCCAACCTGCTCTTTGGGTGGGACAGCCAGGCCCACAGTACCCTTTTTCAGTACACACACCCTTTTCCCAACATCCACTACCACCCTTGCCTCCAACTTCCCCCACCCCAAACTTTCCATTGCCCTGGGAGAGGAAGCAATAATGGTGTGTAGCACACATCCACACACATCCTCCCATCTTGGGCAGCGCCTCCCCTTCCCAACACCAAAGCCATTTCTCCCCTGTGCCTACCTTGATGGGCCTGCGCCCCCCAACCCGCTCCTGGCCAGAAAGCCCTTCAGCAATACAGACAGATACAAGGCCATTACTGCAAGCCATGAGAGTGACACTTGGAAAGCAGAGATACCAATTTTCCTGTGCCACGCCCATCCAATCTGCAGGGGTGGGGCATCAATCATTCTCTGCCCCTGTTCTTTTGTGCACACAGTACTGTAGCCCCTCCTTTTTCCTCATCCATCCTTCTACCTACTTCCCCAACCCCATGACACTTACAGGGTTTGGTTTTGTTTTGTAAAAACAAAAGTGGTTTCTGACCCAGCTGGTGATGATGAAGAGAATGGGCCTTTTATTGTTTTTCTGACTTTTTTTGGGGGGCGGGTTGTATATACTGTAAGGTTGGTTTGTAAATTATTCTACAGAAACAAAAAGGGAAAATGAACTTACCTTCCCATGGCTGACTGCCATTAGGAAGGTAAGGAGGGGGCTCTCCAGGTAGAAGTCACCCCCATTTCTGCTGTATTATATAAACTGCACCATATTCCCCCGAGGGAGGGTGGACATGCTGTCATTTCATGGGAAGTCTTGTCATTTAAGGGTCTGAGGGCTGGACAGTGCCTGTGCCCTGGCCCCTTCCCCAGAAGCCCAGAGTGAGGGTTGGGGAACTGGACAGACTGACCCCTGAACTCAGTTGGGATCCTGTCCCTTGCACAGTGGGTGCAGGACCCCCATGAGCTGCCCATGTGTTGTCAACTTAGTCGGTCGATGGATCAATAATCAGTCCTTCAGTCTTGTCACCAATTAAAGTGAGGCTCTCATGAACATTTTTGGCTTACATGGCTTCATTTAATTTATTTTCTGCTTTTTTGGAGGTTATTTTATTTTTATTTTGGTTTTTTGTTTGTTTGTTTGGTTGGTTGGTTGGGTTTTTTTGAGACCAGGTCTCACTATGTAGCACTGGTTGGCCTGGAACTCAGGTACACCAGGCTGGCCTTGAACTCACAGAGATCTGCCTGCCTCTGCCTCCCAAGTGCTTTTTTTTTTTTAATGTGTATGCATGTATTGCCTGCATGTAGGTAAGTGCACCCATGTCGTGCAATGCCCATGGAGGTCAGAAGAGGCTGTTGGATCCCCTGGGGCTGGAGTTATGGATAGTTGTTAGCTGCCATGTGGGTGCTGGGATTCAAACCTGAGTCTTCTGCAAGAACAACCAGTGTTCTTATCCGCTGAGGCATCTCTCCAGCCCCAGGTGCTGTCTTTTTTAAAAAATATATTATTTTTATTTTATGTGTGTGAGTGTATTGCCTTTGTATGTAAGTGCACCCATGTTGTGCAATGCCTGCAGAGATCAGAAGAGGCTGTCAGATTCCCTGGAACTGGAATTAGGATGGTTGTTAGCCACGTTTCGGTGCTGAGAACTGAACCTGGGTCCTCTGCAAGAGCAGCCAGTGCTCTTATCCACTGAACCATCTCTCCAGCCCCAACCCCACATTTAAAAAAATGTATTGTTTCATTTATTTATTGTGTTTGTGTTGTATGTACATTTGTGCCACAGCACGTGTGGAGATCAGAGGACAACTTGTGAGAATCGGTTCTCTCCTTCCAACATGTGTGTCCCAGCAGCTGAATTCAGGTCAAAAGTCTTGGTAGCAAACCCTTTACACCCTGAGTGATCTCATTGGGACCTCTACGACCCACATCGTTATCTACACTTTGCTTTAACATGTAAAAAGTGGTGGAATGTTTCAAGATGAAGCCAGGACTTATTAATCTAATAAAAGTTGGAATAACAAGTTAATGTGGTTAAAAGTAGAGCTCTTGCAGAGGACCCGGGTTCAATTTCCCAGCACCCACATGGCAGCTAGGAACCGTCCTTAACTCCAGTTCCGGGGGAATCCGAAGCCCTCTTCTGACCTCTGCGGCATTGCATGACATGGGTGCTCTCACATACATGCAGGCGATACACTCATACACATAAAAATAATAAAAAATTTTTTTGGTCTTTTCAAGACAGGGTCTCCCTGTAGCCCCAGCTGTCCTGGATTCACTATGGAGACCAGGCTGGCCTTGAACTCATAGAGATCCGCCTGCCTCTGCCGACCAAGTGCTGGGATTAAAGGCATGTGCCACCACGCCTGGACACAAATAATTTTTTTTTTTAAGTAGAGTTATTCCTCAATGAGGAGTGAGCTGCAAGATACTGCCACAGAGCCCAAAATATAGGAGCTGGTGAGATGGCTCAGTGGGTAAAGATGTTCGCTTCCAAGTCAGATGACCTAAGTTCATGCCCAGGACCCTCACAGTGGAAGGAAAGAACTGACTCCTGAAAGTTGTTCTCTGACCCCCATATATGGGCCATAGTACAGGCACATACCCCCATTCATTCCCCCCATAAAAAATAAATATATATTTTTTTAAATATTGAAGTCAGGGGCTGGAGAGATGGCTCAGCGGTTAAGAACACTGGTTGTTCTTGCAGAAGACCCGGTTTTGAATCCCAGCACGCACATGGCAGCTAACAACTGTCCGTAACTCCAGTCCCAGGGAATCCAACAGCCTCTTCTGACCTCCACAGGCATTGCACAACACAAGTGCACTTACCTACATGCAGGCAATACACGCATACACATAAAAATAAAAATAAATAAAAAATTTTTAAAAAACATTAAAGGCTGTAGAGCTGGATCATTAATTAAGAGCAAAAGGTCTAAACTTTATTCAAGAAGCAAAGAGGATACCTAGACATTTTCCCAAGGGGGTTTCAAAGGATGGCAGAATTAGGGGAAAGATCAGTGGGTAAGGGTTAAGTAGCAAGAGAACTAACTCCAGGCTTCCAGGGGTTAGGAAGGATCCTATATGGTGATTCTCCTTTTCAAAGTTTTATTTATATTTATGTGCATGATTGTTTGCCTGCATGTAATGTATGTGTGTGCATCCTATGCATGCAATGCCCACAAAGGGTGTCAGGTCCCCTGAAACTGGAGTTACAGACGGTTGTTAGCCACCCTGTGGCTGCTGGGACCTGAACCTGGGTCCTCTATAAGAGGAGCCAGTGCTCTTAACTGCTGAGCCAGCTCTTCAGCCCAGTGAATCTTTCTGCTCCCAGCCTCAGTTTCAAGAAGTGATGTCCCATCCATGTCCTATATCGGGGCACTGACCAAGCATGTGGGTCAAAGGTTGAGGGTAACCTGGGATCACCAGCTGGTTCTTTGGAATTGCCTTAGTTGGAATTCATATTTCAAGCAAAGGGGACCAAGGACAGAGTTAAAGAGGCCAGCCTTGGCTATGTGAGACCCTGTTTCACAAAACAAATACTCCGGCCCGGCATGGTGGTGCATGCCTTTAATCCCAGCAGGTGCTTCTCTATGAGGTAGAGGGCAGCCTGATCTACACAGTGAGTTCCAGCCCAGCCAGAGAAATTGAAAAAGAAAAAAAAAAAAGCACTTGTTCATCAAGATATTTTCTACAGGAGGGAAAGGATTAACAGATACCTAGTTTTGTTCTTTGTTTTGCTCTTTTATTGTTTTTGTGGTTTTCTTTGTTAGAAAAAAAGTTTCCCTGTAGCCAGAGCTAGCCTGGAACTTGCAATGTAGACCAGACTTGCCTCAATCTCACTGAGATCCACCTGCTTCTGCCTCCCAAGTGCTGGGATTAAAGGCTCATCTGGCTGTTTTCTATTTTTTCTTTTTTCTTCCTCTCTCTCTCTTTTTTTTGTGTCTTTTTTGAGACAGGGTCTCCCTGTAGCCCCAGCTAGCCTGGAATTCACTCTGTAGACCAGGCTGGCCTTGAACTCACAGAGCTCCACCTGCCTCTGCCCCTCAAATGCTGGGATTAAAGGCGTGTGACACCATGCCTGGCTCTAATATTTTTTTTCAACTAGACATGTTTTACTTTTAAATCAGAGGCAAGAAAACACATCCAATATTTTTTTTTTTAAGAAAAACATTGGCTGGCTTTTAAAACAAAAGAAAACAAAACAAAACAAAACATTTGGGGGGGGTGTTCATTCCTGTGTGGCAACACTACATACGTGGAGATCAGAAGACAACTTGCAGGAGTTGGTTCTCTTCCCACCGTGTGTATTCTGAAGAT